AAATACAGTAGGTTAGATACTACTACTCTGGAGTACAACACAGTCAATTAGCACACTTTGTTAAAAGTTAAAAATTACTTAAATTGGTGAAATGTCTTATAGCGCCATCTGTTAAACGTAAAGAATATTTTGATTCCTTTAAATTCAATATATATATATATACACACGCACACACACAGGATGGCCCAAAGTAAGTATACAGTTGATAATTTTAACGGCACTTTACACATGACATGGTTTATGGTAAAGTTAATCCCGCAGGTGTTCAAATTGAAACCCTTCACTGTTCACACAATCCTGGAGTCTGCCTGCCACACTTCGGCAAACTTTCCGATTCAAACCTCTCTGTCCATCAAGTTCTGTAAATGCGTCTGCGATGTATCCTTCTTATCACCTACAAATAATTTAATGATTCAACATATGCAACTGTATACCTACTTTTACGTCACTCTGTATACATATTTGTAAAAGACGAGTATATGCATACTTTCCGAGTCCTTGTTAATGTTGCCGGGTTCTATTAAATGTCTGTTATAAATCCACTCACTTTTCCAAAATATACATCTGGAGTGAAAAATAGTGCTAAAATCCATGATATTTGTTCCTCTCGTTTTGCACTAAAATGTGGATTCAAGATGTTTCCTAAAGTACTTTAAAACGCCCTTCAGACAACCACTAAGCACTCCCGCTTTACTTTGAATACCTTGTTGTAAATGCAGAGTTTATTCAAGATGACGTATCGATTTCAATGACTATACTTTTTTAAATGCTTTATCCACATTTGATGGGTTCACAGAAGAGACTCCTATACTAAAAATTATTCTCCTCACCCCTCTACACCAGTGATCACAAAAAGCTTTTTTCAAGAGTATCTGAAGAAATATTTTATGTGATACAACAGGCTAACCAAATCAAAAATCCACAACTAGTGTAGAAAAAAATGTGTAAAAGTTGAACATTCATGTGGAGATGCCAAATCATCAGAAGAATGGAAACTATTAATCTTTTTGCTTCAGGTTATTTAAAAACTAAGAATTTTCATAAACTACATCAATTCTTGCAAGATTATTGTGGATGAGAAAGTAGTAGGTTAGCATGGAGTAAGCCTATTCTTAAAAATATCACTTAATCTTGGTATTAAGATCTTAAAAATTAAATTTTCACAACTTAAATATAGTTGCTGAAAGTTAAGTTTGTAACAAAGAAAGAAGTATCTGTATTGCTGTGCTAAAAAAAAAGAATGTACATTTTTTGGGGATATTTTAATCTTAAACATCTATCTAGTAATCACTTCCACGTATTACATAGGCTGATAAAGCAAACTTCAATTAAATACTGCAAGGCACTTGGAGAATATCTGGTTCTTAAACATTCCACTTTTATCAGTATTAAAAGTATCTTTTCAATGATCTTGGTCTGATAAATGCTCAGCAATACAATAAAGTATACTCTGGGACTAAATAAATCAAACTTTATGAGTGGGGCAAAGAGGGATACACACACACACCAGTTAGGGAAATTGGAGAAAGGTTCTTTCCTTTTTAAACTAAATCCCTGACACTGAATTTTCTTTCTTTTTTACATATCTGGTGCATAAAACTATGTCTAGATCTGTATGTTCTTATTTATATCACGACTAAATTCCTAGCAAAAATAGCCGTAAAGTAATTAATGAATCTAAGGACAATGCTGCATAATTTTAAACTTCACCATATCTTGTCCTCAGCTTTCCAGGATTTGCTATATATAATTTGAAACGTATACAAGATATGCCATGTAGATTACTTATTGTCTAGATTTTAAAGTACTTTTTTCAACACCTATAATGCAAACTCCTCAGCCACCTTTTCAACAGACATGATCATCTATATGCTACTGAAACAGAGAGATTGTTTGTCTGTAATTAAATATAAGAAAAACGGCACACAATAGCGCTATATTTATAATGAAATAAGAATAGAAACAGAATAAAACAAGTTTCGTTAAAATCGGACCACGGGTTACCGAGTTAGCGCCGTTTTTCGGGTCACTTTTATGAAAATTTTTAGATGAATTTAGCTACACTAGATGACGCCACATATCGGTTTATCTATCTATATACTACTAAAACTCCGAGATTGTTTGCTTGTCTGTAATTATATACAGCAAAAACGGCGCACAATAGCGCCATATTTGTAATTAATTGTTTCTATACAGAATAAAACAAATTTCGTTAAATATTGACATTAGCTTGAATTCTTCATAACCACTGAATAGTGGGTGACCCAACTGTTACTATGGTGTATATTAGAGACCGTGTGATAAGAAATAAAATTACCAACTGTTACTATGGTGTATATTAGAGACTGTGTAATAAGAAATAATGACATTATCCAACTGTTACTACGGTGTATATTAGAGACTGTGTGATAAGAAATAATGAAATTACCAACTGTTACTATGGTGTATATTACAGACTGTGTGATAAGAAATAATGAAATTACCAACTGTTACTATGGTGTATATTAGAGACATTATGATAAGAAATAATGAAATTACCAATTGTTACTATGGTGTATATTAGAGACTGTGTGATAAGAAATAATGACATTATCCAACTGTTACTATGGTGTATATTAGAGACTGTGTGATACGAAATAATGACATTATCCAACTGTTACTACGGTGTATATTAGAGACCGTGTGATAAGAAATAATGAAATTACCAACTGTTACTATGGTGTATATTAGAGACTGTGTGATAAGAAATAATGAAATTACCAACTGTTACTATGGTGTATATTAGAGACTGTGTGATAAGAAATAATGACATTATCCAACTGTTACTACGGTGTATATTAGAGACCACGTGATAAGAAATAATTTCGGGGTCACTTTTATGAAAATTTCTAGCATGAGTAATTTTACATCACACTACCGTTCGCGCTCTTTACGAAACTTCTGACTTCACTTTTTGAAAAATGAAATGGTTTTTCCTTTTACTCCCGATCAACAATCAAATATCTTTTCTTTAATTATGAATACACGAATGGATTGAAATATTTAATTAAATTACATCAAATAAACCTTCATTTCGGTGCAATATTGAAATTAGCTTGAATTCTCCATAACCTCTGAATAGTGGGTGACCCAATGGGTCTCGGTGGTCTAGTTAATTCATGAATCCTTAAGTTCCATCTAAAGTTACTATCTTTTGAACATATTGGTAAGATTTGTTAATTGTTAATAGCTTTTAAATCAGAATATTAGCTTCCATGTCAGTTACACACTTGATTTTAATTTGCATTTATTAATCTTTTTTGTTTCATTGTGATATTTAAAATGTTCACAAAATGTACAGGTTCCATACATTGTCAACAGTATTTTAATGTTTGACTAGTTAAAAACAGTTTCTTCTACCAAATCCCAGTTATGAACTAACAAGTTCTATACAATGTCAACAGTATTTTAATGTTTGACTAGTTAACAATAGTTCCTTCTGTCAAAGCTCACACTGAGCCCAGTTATGAATTGACAAGTTAACAACAGTTTCTTCTTTCAAAGCTCACACTGAGCCCAGTTATGAACTAACAAGTTCTATATAATGTCAAA